GCACGATAAGAATTATCGATAGAAACGTGTAAAAGTAATTGATACTGATTAATATATGCATATATAAGGTTTCGATTTAATATCACCATTTTTGATCCTCTTTCCGTATTGAAAAATCATTATGCTGCATAAGCACACATTTTTTTAGATAAACGTGTTTGCAATTACAAAACATAAATCCTTTAAACGTTTCGCAGTATGAAAAATATAATATATAAATATGTAAGAGATTTAAATGACGTATTCATGCGATAAATCGAACGTGGGAATCGTAAAAACGTTAGTAAAATCAATTATTTACGAGCGAGGAACGAAAACAATGTGACGTGAATCTCTAGCGAATGCAGTAAAGCGTCGACGTACTTCAAATGTTCGCAGAAACGGATGAGTCGCTAGCACCGCACCGGGGTCAAACGTTACACTAAAAAGAAAAAACCGATGTTTTTCAACACGTGTTCTCCGGATCGCGGCAACCACCCGGAAGTCCGCGTGCCGAACACGGACTCGGAGCGTAGCCTCTGTCGGTACGGGCGCGTTCAAAGTACGGTGTTCGCGCAACGGTGTAATGCACGTAAAACGGTGCCGTCGGATTAGGCTTTCGCAAACATTTCGTTTGGAAAGCAACGAGGAGAAAAAAATAAAATACGACTCGACCTTGCAAGGCCGCCGGGCCAGTGCACTCGTTTGACCCGGCCTACCTACACCCGGTCCCGATAGCACGTACGCACACGTGAACGTGCACGGAGCAGCGGCACTCGGCGGTCCACCGCCTGCCGTACTCGCGAGCCGCAGCCGTTGACCGCCTACCGTTAATTACGCCGTCGCCCCGCGAATATTATCGTCATTATTAGGTATTAGTATTATTATGCGTTATTATTACTGTACGTCCGCGTGCCGCAGTACCCACGTATACGATGTTGCACTGCACGCATGCGTGTGTACTACCGTGTACCGGATCTGCACGTTTTTATAATGCGCGTGCACGCACGTGCACTGCACCGGGTGGGATATTAGTCCGGGGGGGGGGTGGGGGGGGGGGGAACCACGCCATAGCGTTGTAATGTAACCGTTCGAAACGGAAGTAAAAAGATCTCAACGCGTTTCGGCTGTACTGCGGAATAGTTTCCAGAAACGCGGACCGGGGGACTTTTTTCGGCGCAATGCTCTTTGTCGTACCGTAAAAGATATTTCACCAAACTTACGGTTGTTATTTGAAACTCGTCCGTAGACTCTAGCACCAGTATACGAACACTTAACTTGAATGAACATTGTATTTGATCCCATCATAAACCATATCATATTGTTGTGACCGCGGGAATTTATATAAAACAAAATATTTCTTTGTTCCTACATTTATATCTCTCTCTCTCTCTCTCTCTCTCTCTAAAATATAAATGCAGTCTGTTCACATTAACTTGAGTTTGAAGAAGCAGGAAAAAATATTTGTGTTGTCTAGATAAATTTATATTATATTACATTTGAAATGAGCTAAAATGTAATTTGAGTTGTCTAGGATTTCCAGTTGTATACGTATTGACGTTGCATGGAGGTGTATCTACGTTTCACGTTAGTCGTTCGCTACACTCTCTACTTTTCAATGGGTATGCAGTAGTGCGATGTTTATATTATATTATACATGCGAAGAAAAATTAGGACTCGAATTCGTTCGTGTGCCGACCGGTTTTTCGCGAAACAATTTTTAGCGTGTGCATGAAAAATATCGTGTGCAGACACAACCTTGACATCTGCAGTCTGCAGTTGGTGACTGATCCGAATTATTAGTTCAACTATAAAAACACCAACCGTCTCGGTGTTCAATCGTTCTTTTTTCGTATTTCATTTTTTTTTCGACGACTGACTCGAGTGAAAAGAAAAACAAGGATTCGTTCATGCTTCGCTTGACGTACCTACACCAGTCGGCAGTCACATTTGTGTATGTTTCGGGTGAATAGTACGATGACCACTGTATATACAACCTCGAAATACTTGGTCTGGGTGGCCCATTTGGTCGTTTGTCGTACAACAGGAAACTTCGTAGCTCGAGTTTGCGGAAAGAGCTTGACAAATGTGACGGTCGTCGTAATCGGTTAAAAATAATAATTTTTACCCAGTACAACAGCGTATATTACAAGTACATCATATCAAAGCGATCTGACGTCTTTGTAACACTATATGTATATATATATATATATATATATATATATATATATATATATATATAT